CCTAAACCCGAAGCCTTGAACCCTAACACACCCTGAACTCCAACCCTCAAGCGGTAGGTCCTAACCGTAGCCCAATTGCCCAACAAGCCCATCCCATCCCTAATCCCGAAGCCCGAAACATCTAATCTTCGGGGACCGATCCCCCATGCTCCCCTCCCGAACCTTAGACTTCGGTCCCAAAGGTGATTCGACTCCCAACCCTAAGCTCCCTTTCGCAAAGTCTGAACTCTCAGAGTCGGTTTAGGGTTTAGGGCTTTTTGGGTAGGGTTTGGGATTCAGGGATGAACCCGAAGTTTCTCAACCTTGGCCCCGATCAGAAACAACTCGGTGGTTCAGAAAAAGGCTCCGTGGGTAGCCGTAGGTAGGCTTTAATCGTTTGATGCGCATATACTGCGATGAGAATTTTGAATGGTACCCTAGACCTTAAACCCCAAGAACCCTAAACCTTAAGCCCCAAGAATACCTCATCAGGCTTTACCCACCCGAATTGGCCAAGGACCTTCAACGACCTGAACAGCGACTCCGAAGACAACCGTCTGACTCCAATGAAACCAATGTAACTTACAACAAGATCCGCTTGTACTTAAATCTGTAGGGTTTAGCGTGTAATGTACTATCATTGTTAATAAATAGTTGGTTCAAACAGTGGAGCTCTGCCTGCGAACCTGTGGTAATTTACAATACATTCTCCTTCCTGCGTTCATGCCATTACTATAACAACTGCATTATGGGTAGTAGTGGTAGTAGCAGTAGCAGTTTCAGCATTAATATCAACACTTTTGTTGCTACACATCCAGCTGTAATCTACCACCACAATTAAGGGCCCTGCTTTAGGGGACTACACCCTGATGTGGCTTTAGAATGTCGAATTTACCGGCTTTAGTCGTTTGAGTTTTCTCGGCTTCTGACCGCATAGGCGAGGGTGGGCCTTTGGAATACAAGGGTTCAGGGCTTCTACGATTTCCGACAAATCGGTGAACATATGCCTGAACCCTGCACCCTGAATTAAGGGTTTGGGGTTTATACCCATAGGCCC